CATCAAAAAGTAACCCATTTGAAGTCCAGCTGGACCCGCACCAACAACGATGTAGTCGAATGGACCTGAGAGAAAAGATTGTTAACAATAGTATTAAGCTCTGTATGTGAAAATATGAATTGATATGCGTCGAAATGTATGTAGTTTGATATATGAATTGCAGAGCATCGGTATATGACCACGCCAACACCTTTATAACATTTCATTATTGAGATAATCCCCTACCACCATGATAGTATTTATACTATTTTAACACTTAATCTGCAAAATCACTAAGCAGACACGTACAATAGATGATGGGGTTTGTGACAATTATATACTTGCGAAAGGGGGCGAACTGATGACGGGATGTTCAAGACCAGATACAGGTTATCGGAAAAAATATATCACATGACACGGAAAACAACCATCGGTTTATTAGCAATGCATTAGCGGCGGCACGGCGGAGGCCGCCTTATTTAAAAAACCCTTGTATGTCAGCAAAATTTGCCTCTCAAAATGCAGGAAATAGCTTTTTAGAGGGTCTAGACATTAAAATTCAGCGGATCTGCCCCCCCCCCCTATGCAAAATTTCGTGCCACCACCTTTGCAATGGTATGTCGGATGTGTTTAAAGCGGGGTAGTCGTCACCTGCGCATGCCTCAGACGGCCATAGCGTGTCATTGTTTTCAAACAAGCGTCTACCCATGAGCCTTTGCGCGAGTGACGACCCACCCGCTTTAAAAGTCCCTGTTGAAATACAATGTTTTAATTTTGTCTGTGCTCCTCTTATATAAAGGATGTTTCGCTTCATGCGACGTGTAACGTACACTCTGGGTATTTATCTAATGTTATGTATTTGAGAAAATAGGTATATCGATGAGAATTGTTGTAAAAGAAGAAAGGCCAAGAAACAAATTGGTTCGTTGAGGGCGTATTTTGAGGTCGTAAAACAACACAATTCAAAAACCATTGCAGAGGCGTCTATAACAGCTGGTAAATATTTCACTTCCACCAAAAACAAAACGGTCATGTTTTGTGTGATTTAAAGAAGTACAGTTCAAAAGTAAAGATCACATTTCCACTGGCAATTATAAAGAAATATAAATTAAGTCAGCAATCAGTGAGATACTAATATATAATAACTACATGTATGTAACATTGGACTCTTAACTCAAGTTCAAATTTATTTCGGATATTGCGGTGATACTGGGACTGCCTGCGTATAAAGTAAACAAACTTGGCTTGCATAAATAGGGCAATTTATTGTCACAAATTTGACAATCTAGTATTAATCAGTGGTCATTAGTGTTGGCTCAAATCTGGATGTGTACTTAAAGACATCGGCTACAACCAGAGTTACACGCCAAGCGATACACTCATCAACTATACAGAGAGACGCACTCGGAGTTGCGCACCTCCCATAATGCACCCTCCTATTCCTCTTTAAATAAAACGCATCACCGGTATGCATATTCGTTGGTCACGTGATATCACACGAACAATTCAATTGGCCGATACTTTCAAACCAAAGCTATCGGGTGTGGCTGGAAATGTTTCCCACGCTTCGAATAACCCACGCTCATTAAAAATCATAAAACACAATATTATGAAAACTGAACAAAAGGTGTGAACACACGAAGACAATGGTATTCCCAGGAGACAGTTAGCACATAAGAACACCATCTCATTACGGTAACACACAATAGTCTGGCGATCTTAGCACGCAGTAACACTCGCCCACTGTGTTATTCAAACAAACAATATGGTGTAGTAAGGGTCACATGTAATGAATCTCATTTAAATAATCGTCATCAAATCGCCTTCATTAATGGCGTGTATTCAGAACCAATTACAATTGAAACAAAGGTCTCCCATATTTTAATTCTTGGATATATTCTGTTTCTTCTTTCCGTAAATGACCTGCCCGGATGTTTAAGTCAATGCGCCTCTAATTACACTACACTATATGTTAATGCTAATCCGTTAATGTGATATCTAACAAGTTACAGGGTGTTTTTTTTCTTTTCGAAATGAGACATTGTTATATGCAAATAAACCGAGTCTTCATATTGGTAAGACCAGATGTATTCATACATTCAAATAATAATTCTGAACTAACCAATGGAATGTAAATCGGTTAGAATATCGCGGAGTTATTCATATTAACAATAAAATAACAAAAATTAATAGAGGTGTGGGATGCCTCAAAAGGTTGGCCACGTTGATACTCTTCACAAACCCTGGCAGCTTTATGTGCCAGGCAAGTTCTAGCCTCGTCGATTTTATCGTTTGCTTGTGAAACTACTCCAAGATAAAAGAACGTATTAACACAAGTTAAATGGGAATAAAATTGTTGTCTTTCATTTATATAACCCTTTTCTGAAAATCATAATTGTTTTCTTGGTTGGCTTCACCTGGAGATTTTATTTATGCTTTTACTCCTGCGATTGGTTTATTGAAGGTTAAGTTGAATTTTTTTATGAAGTTCAGCTAGATGGAAAAGCAGAAACAACAGAACATAGCAAGTAAGTCATTAATGAGTAAGAACTTATGAAAAATAATTTTATACATGAAACCAGATGTAAACACTGTACATACAAATTGCTTGTTTTCATTATTACAACACCATGCCCATGTTTTAATTTCAGTGACCCTACGCATTGACAAAAGGTCAAATGCTACGCTCCTTTGCCTCTCGGTGAATCCTGTTGACATTATCTAAACCATAGCAGGTTTTATTTTCCCGTAAATTTTCTCCTCGCCTGGTACATAATAAAAAACAAGGCCCTTCAGGTAATTTTTGAGAGGGTGCTTCACTAAACACGTACCCCATAAAAACAACTCTTTTTTTTTTTTTGGAGCAAAGTACTCGGACCCCGGACATTTTATTTTGAGAAGTACTATGGGTTGTTATTCAAAACAAACACAGCCTTCTAATTTACGTCTCACTTCATATTTTGCAGCTCATTTTTTCTTAACCGATTAATTTCATTTCATGGTGTATTTTGGTCAGTGGTTGGCACGTCCCAAATTTGCAAAGTGGGAATGCAAATTTAACGCCACGAATCTTCTTTTCTAAATATGCCCTGACTTTGATGCTGCAATTTTTCAGTAGCAATTTAAGCAGTTTCAATATTTCGTGAAACATCTTATTGGAAGGCTATTTTTTATGTCAATGTAGCATTGCAAGAAGAAACTAATTATAGTATAAATATGTATATATTCCAGCCACCACGGTGATTTGTACATTTCTTATTGGTGGGATACTGTAGCTTCACCAACACAGGACAACATACATCTAGATGTCATAGAAAACTTCATGAATCAATATATATTCTCCTAAGTTCCCCGCCAAGGACGTAATTTCGGCTTGTGTCAAGATTTCAGACAGCCGATCGCGTCCCGACTCTCTCTATACACCCTACCTATAAAACGCGCCCTCTAGCTACAAAGCGTTTCTGTGACGTAAATGCGTGGCATAAAAAACGCTTCAAATCGTCGATAGCGTTTCGATCTGGCGTTTAATATCAACGAAGAATAAGGCTTTGAAAGACTTTACTATATTTTAGATGGTGAAAGACTACACAAGCAAACACAGTGAACGATGTAAACGATGTTGCAATATTTGTCCATCCTATCATTGATAACCGTATCCATTTACTACGTTTACATTACGGAATCTCGGCACGTGCCGAAATTTGTAATCCTTCGTGTTTGCAAGGGGATTACAGCAGTTGCGTTTTACGACTTTTGCCAAAATCACGCCATTATTCGTCGAACTTTTATTTGACCCAAACATGGCAAACGATACGCATTCGATGATAATAATAATTGCCTTATTGAAATTATATTCAATCGCTGTTCTGATATTTATTATTTGTTATTGTGTACATGAATCGCAAAGACAATTTTGAAAAACAGTTATTTTTTTACTTCGATTTAGCATTGCAATAAGAAACCGGTTTATAACTTGTCTTGACTGAAAATTATTGAATATCTGGAAAGTTCGTAGCCAATACTGATTTGTGTCCGTTACAGTCTGAGTTCGAGTTCGGATATTTTTGGATACAATTGAGAAAGTTTGTAGCGTTCATTTACGCGGCAGACAACAACATTACTGATCATTTTTATTTAAATCTGTTAATTTATCATCGTTCTCGTCTTCCTTTTTGTCATATAAATATGTCTAAATCAACAGAAAGCATTTGATTCCCAGGGTGTGTACTTTGTACGTGTGTAGTTTGAAATCTAAGGTTAAAGGTGAATACACGTGTAATAAACCTACTCTCATTGTATGCATCGCATCCAGGGACCAATATCGGACACGACACAACAACCGCCCTTCAACATATAGCAATCCTAGTGCTAGGTACTTTCGATACACAAAACAGACTTGTTGAGCCCGTGATAGAGCATTTTTTCAAAGGAAATCGTTATTCGCTGAACAGGTCACTGCGTGCGCGAGAGAAAGCCCATGTGGGACATTATGCATAGGAACGGCGTAGAAGCTCGGATCTACGGACATGTTAAATTGCGGCCACTTTCGGTAATGATTTCAAACTTTTATATACACAGCTTAGTCTGGTCTCAGTTCCGACCCAGACACGTTATATATAGTCGCTTGAATGTAGGCATGTGGTATACTTCAGCTATTGTTCATTCATAGTAATGAAATGATGGTACACTCACCAATTATGTCTTCATTTTGCGTGGAATTCATCGTAGACGCCATGACTTCTTGAGTCGTGATTGCTTTAGTGGTTCACAAGGCAAAGTCAGTTCACCAAAGTCATCGCGTCCTTATACATATTAAATTGTATGCTTATAACAATTCCTATTGGACGACGACAAATTGTTCATTTGAAAGTATAATCGCAAAGGTCATAATGTGTATCGCAATGACACAGACTACTCGTGTGTACTAAACAAAACCCTTTAACTCAAAGTTCTGGGTCGACCTAAAGTAGTCGATATTTAGTTTTTGTTTTGTTTTATTATCATCGTCGCCTGTAAAAAGAAAAACATGTTTGTATTCAGTTACAACCCAACATAGTTCTCCGTTTTTATCTGAATTTGAAGTCGCAGTCCAGCACTGGGTCATGTTTTCAATATTTTAACTGGAATACATTTAGTTAATTTCTACTAAGCTCCAGTGAACAGTACGAAATACTACACACTCGATCTGCCATCCCAAATGAGAATTACTCAATATTCAATGAGTTTCTTTGTCCGATGGTCCTTTCGAACACATACGTGGTTTATTTACCTAATATCGAAAAAAGAAAACAATTATGCAAATCCACAAATCGCAAATAGGAGTTACATCTATTAGAGCCCTAATATTTCAGTGATTATGTTTACATTGTAAGACCTATTTAACCGACGGTTGGTTGGTTGTTACATGGTAGTTGAACACTCTTTCCTGCATGTGTCGTTAACTAAATGTGTACCAAACCGACCGATTACTCTTGAACTCTGGGAACACTGACTGAGATAAAACAGTGCGATGACCACAAAGTGTTGGATTCTGTTTCTGTTTTTGTTATATTATATGAGCATGACCTTCAAGTATTTCATAAACTCCACAAAACTAGACTTGACCGCCAAGCGGAATTTGTTAAGGAAGTGCCGTTGCAATTATCAAAGACAAAGGTAAAACTATTCAAGAATCGGTCACTATATGGCCAAACATTACTATTTTTGGTACATATACATATCGTTAGTCAACTGTCAATCATACAGCATTATCGCTTTAAATGGCGACACACAGCGGAAGTAACAGTACTGGACTTTCCATATGTACACCTTAGGAATCTGGTCAAAACAGTGACCTAGTTTCATCCTACGTCACGTGACTACGAATAATGTACCACAGTGTAATGTGCTATTGTATAGCATGCTTTGTTGTTCAAATGGCAGTGTCTGGTCACGTCGCTGATAATATCCAGCCTGAGGTCTCACACACTGTGGCGTGTTCTTGATATATTTACAGTATCTTGGCGTATACATGTAAAACCATATATACTGTTCAGTTATTTTTTACGATTTACGTGATTCTTACGAATACATTTTAGGAAGATTTTTCATTTTTCGAACGAGGACAAGATGTGCACTTATCTCGTACGGACAATAAAAAACGATTCATACATACATACATAGTTAAATTCAGTCAGGCACGAGTAATTGTTCAATGCATTTATCTATTATTTATTTACCCTCTAAATTGACTATTAGTAGAAAGCATTATAATAACCCGCACTACATCACAGTAATACAACGTAAGTAAATTTGTTTGAGATCTCTCCTACGATATCACCAGTACTAGTACATGCAGGAAGAATATAACATAAAATAATTTGATATCAAAATTTTTCTATAATAATAATCCTGTACGGTGTTAACACTGTTACGCAAAGACATCATGATTTGATATACACTGAGTACACAGGCTAATCAAAGAGCCTGGCATCTACGCTATATTAAGACATGATCGTTGTGCCAACTAATTTACATAAAATGCTTATCATGCTCTTAGCTAAATAAATAGATGAAGTATTTCCGGAGAAGTTGTTATCGTACGTCATTATGGGTAGTTCTTTTCGGAGAACCTTATAAAACTATGTCGAAACTATGTCTCTCATCACTTGTGTATGGCAAACTTCTAAAACTAATTAGCCATTTCGATCGAAAATTAGTACGGTGATTAAATTCACGGTAATTTGGAATACCAGAATCATCGAACGTAATAGTATGTCAGTGGTGAATGTTAATGGTGATATATAGTTTTATATCAATTGTATATAATATTGTTATTATATATTGTTATACAAATTGTGGTTATTATTCACTCCAGTACCATGTTTATTTCAGGAGAAGGCATGGTTTGATATGCAGTCGTAATTTATCTCATCATGGGTTTCACGGGGTCGATACTGTATGGAATACACGACTTGTATTTACTCATGTCTGGTAAATTCTTCAATTCTTCTTCAGTGAAAGGAGTCACCTTTTCGTCATAGGCTTCTTTCGAACCAAAATATTCGTCGTTGTAGTGTACCCCAGGTTCCAGGTCCAGCTGTGAAAAGAATGAATACAAATGTATATCATTGCTATTCGCCTCTCTACTGCATGCAACCCCATAGTTTGGGTGACTGCGTCAGGCGCAGTGTGTACATCCCGGTCAATTTGTCATCTCAGATCGGTTACTAATCGTCTACTCAAAATTTGAACGACAATACTTTAACATATGCCTTACTATTTCATAACAACCATGCTTTCGCCCACTTGTGTCGGGGTCGCGGCAGGTAATGACTAATTACATAAGAAGTGATAATTCGGAAAACATTTATTATCATAACATTCATGGACTGTGAATACTTACGCATTTGTTGATGAAATTTTTCATTCTATGTTGTGATGCCAGGGGGTTTTGGTCAAGAAACACAGGAGTG